GCAGTCCCTGATGCTTTAGGTAAGCTTGTTCTAAGTAGGTGCCTTAGACCACTGAGCCATCTCTCCAGCCCCACCTGAAATGTTTAAACTCCCTGAACAACCCAAGTTGTTACCCAACCCTATAATCATAATGCACCAAATCTGCCTTTGTAACGCCCCCACTTACCTTCCCTTTAAAAAAGCCCCAAAACTACACCAGGTAAGACTCTATATTTTGGGGGAGATCCTAGTTAGAATCTCACTAGGATAATATACTATCTCCTTACACCTTCTTGGTGTTGTTTCTTCCCATATTTGGTTTGTTTTCTGTAATACTCCCACTGCACTGGCTAATAGTGGCTAGCTGGAGATTCTTGGTCTTTGTTCACAGAGAACATTGATCATTCAAAGTTTTACATCCTTAAAATTCTTGTCTCTTGCTCTTTTTCTTTTTTGCTGCACACTGAGAGGGGGGCTCACTGCAGGGGTCCTTCATAACTGGCTCCATGGAAAGCATTTTCAATAATAAAGTACTAGAGATTAGCAAAAGAGCTATTATAAATGATAGTCCATTAAATATGATGCTGAAAACATGTAACTATGTCAAGTATCTAAACTTTCTGGTCTTGAAAAATTGTGAGAAACCACTATGTCTTCATAGGAATTTACTGAGTGTAGTTTTCTGGAAGCATTTAGAGAAAGAATTATCATTCTTTTAATTTACGTGCACTTATTATGCCTACATGTAAGAAGACTAAATTAAATAGATGACACTATAACAAATTATTCCAGGAAATTTAAAGTCCTGTTGGTAAAGTTGGCTACTGTGGCCATAAGTAAAATCCATCCTCCTGCCTGTTTTCATGAACAGTTTTAATAGAACATAGCCACACTCACTCATTTACGTATTATTATATTGCCTATAGTTTATTACAATAGTACAACTGAGAAGTTGGAGAGACTGGAGAGCCACAAAGCCTAAAATATTTACTAACTGGCCTTTACAGAAAAAAAATGTCAGCCCCCTGCTCCAGGGCAGCCATCCAAGAATGCAATAAAGCCTACTGGACTCACCTGAGGTGTTGTCTTTCTGTAATGATCACCTCCAACTATCACATCCATCATAACTTTTTCCTTGAGAAAGTGATACTCTTCTGGACTCAGATGAATCGACTCTATGGAGTTTCCACAGCCTGAACATTGGCCACTGTGATGACAGTTTTTAAACGTTAAACAATGTCATGGAAATTAACTTTTTCTGAAATGAGTAAGCCTAAGACACAAGGAAACTGAAAGGTATTAAGAAAGAACATTAAAACTTTTGTGATCGTCACATGCATTTAATTTTCCTGAAAACATCTCATTTGGTGTGCCAGGAAACCAGAGTCTATTGCTGAGCACACAGATGAGATTTTTAAAGTAATTCCTAAAACACTAGGATCTAAATCTTTAGAAGAAAATATTTCTGTGTCTTCATAGAGGCTCACAACATCAGCAAGAAAAACATTTTGAGCACTATGAAGTTTTCATATGCAAGACATGATTTTTTTCCTCAGGTAGTCTAATTACAAACTCTTATTTATTCTGTCCCTAAAGTATTCTTAAATATTTTTTTTAAATCAACATAAACACTGAATCTGAATAAAACAATTTAACTAATGGGTTTTACCTTTTCTGGATTGTAGTAAATTGGCCTTTCCATTGTTTTCCAGAAATAAAACAAAAAAAAAAAAAAAAAAAAGATAACAAAGTCATCAGAAGGTTACATTCAAAAATATTCACTGTCTGTAAACATGCTGTAAGCAAGAGCTCTCAAAGGTTCAGGATACTCCCCAGAATGATTTAATACCAACAGCAGCTGTTACACTGTGAGGGGTGAAGGAGCAGGTGGGATTCTCCTCTAGATCCCCTTCTTCCTTCTGGCCCAACTACATCTTTTCCAAGTCTAAACACACTGCTACATTACTGAAAGGGATAGATCTGTTCAGTAGAGAAGGAAACGGTGGGATGAGGAAAAGGACAAAAGAAAAAAGGGGAAAAGATATATTTAGGTACATATGCAGGATAACTTGGATAACTGTAGTGCAGATTCCTGCTGGTCTTTTGAAAGGAGTTTTTTTTTTTTTTTTTTTTTTTTATTGAGAAACAAATAGCAATGAGACAGTTTCAAAACCGATTAGTGGGACAGTTTCAATAATTAATACATTGCCTATTGTTGTCTTTGTAGTGGTTATTCATAGTACAAGATGCAGACATGATATCTTGTCCAAACACTATTAGTACAAATCTTTCTTCTCCTTGAATTAAAAGTAGCTGTATATACAGATAAATGGTCCTTCATTTGTATCCCGAAAGGAGCTGTCCACGCTTAATTTTTTTATTCTTTTTAATTTCTTATATTTTTTTTTAAAAACAAATGTGCATGTGTATCTCTGGTAACCTGAACGGCTAATCTGAAGATAACATCATGCTATATACAGTAATCATTGTTGAATTCCTATCACTTTGTTTAGTGAAATTTTGTACCATTTCTTTTTTTTTAAATAATTAATAGACTTTATTTTTAAGCACAGCATGAGACAGAACAATTGAGTAGGTAATACAAAGAGTTCTACATATCTGCCCCATCTCTACCCTCCATTTGTACCATTTCTAATGCTGTTTTTTAATTATTTCTTATTCTTTAAAAAATAGAAGATAAATTAATAAATAAATGCATCTTCATTGGAGCGCCACAGAAAGCTGATGACCTCTGAACCAAACTCATCTCTAACCTTTTCCATAGTTGCCAGATTGCTCCTTTTCACAGTAATTATCCCCTCTCGTACTTTTCTCCTACAGACCACTGTTACTTACCTGTCAGGAATGATAGGCCGACAATGTCCTCATGACAGATTTCGTATCACAAAACATTATGCCTAGCCTAATTGGAGGCATTCAAAACTGTTTGTCAAGCTTATTTGCTCAATCAGTTTATCTACTCCTTTTACATCTATTACCATCAGTTCCTACTGATTCCATTGCTTTTTCTCCTTCTCCGGTTCTTAATTCAGGAACTGACCACCTGTCACCCAAACCTCATTGCACCAAGATATTTCATGTGCAAAGCATGACTTTTTTCCTCAGGTAATGTAATTATAAACTCTTAATTATCCTGTCCCTAAAGTATTCTTAAATGTTTTTAAATCAAAATAACAAACTCTACTGAATCTGAGTAAAACAAATTAACTATTGGGTTTTACCTCTTCTGGACTATAGTCTTGTTTCCAGTCTCCCAGCTGTTTTGGCAATTATCTTTTTAAAAATCTACTCCAAAACCCGTATTTCTTTACTACAGAATAAAGTCAATGCTCCTTGAGGTTCACACCCTGGCTCTTCCTCTATTGATACTCAGTAAATGTGCAATCTAATTAAGTATAATTCTACTTCAAAGCAGCCCCAGAACCCTGGGTGCTCTGTGCCAGCCACCAAAACCAGGAGTGGTGGTGCATGCCTGTAATCCCAGAGCTGGGGAGGCTGAGACAGGAGAATCACTGAGTCCAAGCTGTGAAGCAAGACCCTGTACCAAATAAATACATAAATAAATATTTTAAAAAATGGTCTAAGGACAAGTCCAGTCAAATGTTACATCAGTCAAATACAAGTGTACCTCAGTTACCACTTAATTGTTTTGATTCTGGTTGCAAACGAATCCTGGAATAAATTCTGCTACCAGGAAGAAGTAACTGTGGTTGTGTACCAAGGTACTAAAGTATTTTTTTCTGGCAAGGTCGAAAGGCCCCGTTCAATCTCCATGAAAAAAAAGTGCTATGTAATTTCCTTTTTATGTGAAAGGTACAGATTGGCACAGACTGTCTGTGCTGCTATGTAATTTGCTACTACAGTTTTCCCCCAATGGCTGGGGATTAAACCAGGACCTCAAGCCTGTTAGGTGAACACTTTATGGAGGTACAACCCCAGCTCTCTGCTACTACTTGTTTTAAGCAGAGAAAATGTTGTCTTGAAGAGGAAACACATCATACCTAAGGAAAAAGGTTTAATCTGAGTAAAATGATTTGCAGCAACAAAAAAAAAAAAAAAAAAAAGGCTTTTCGGGGCCAGGGAGATGGCTCGGTGGAATAAGTGCCTCCCTGGCAAGCGCAAGGGCCTGAGTCCAATCCCCGGTTCCACCAAAAAAAAAAAAAAAAAAAGGCTTTCTGACATAGATATAAAAATATAGTTACCAAAACCACACACAACAAGGGTCCAAGAGATGGTTCAGTACAATAAGCACTTGCCTGGCAAACGCAAGGGTCTGAGTTCAATCCCAGGTTCCCTCCCCCTCCCAAAAAAAAAAGAAAATTGAAAAACACACACAACATTAAAATAAAAATTACCTTTCAAACCATGTTTTTATACTGTGGACAAATGACTCCCCCGGATACAGGTAATTATTCCTTAAATACAAAAGAATGTCTAGTAGTTTGCTGGAGTAGTGATCATCTTTTATGTCTTTTCCAAAATCGAAGAAAGCTTTTAATGTTTCCAACATAGGAGTGTATCTATGACTTAGCAATTCCTCATACAAATTCCAAGCTATGGTCACATCTTGATGAAAGAGTGCTCCCTGGATACAGTCATTGTAGTTCCTTACTGAAGGGGTCATGACTTTTTTTATGTCTTCTAAGAGCTGCAAAGCCTCTCTCCATCTATCTGAATGGATTAATCCCCGGATGAGAAGAGTGTAAGCCCCAGGTTCTAAAATCTTGTATCTAGCTTTCATGATTTCATAGACATCAATAACTTCTGACGTCTGCTTATAGAAGACACTGAGATGCAAATACATGAGCAATAAATTATAGCCTACAATACCATTGTTTTTTGCGGCTACCCATGCCAAGAGAGACTTAGCCACATCTACAGGGCTGTTGTTATGAGACATCTGTGTGCTGATCCAGTTTTCAAAATCCTTCTTTCCTGTGTAATTTTCCTTAAGTCTGTCCCACTCTTCTGAACTCAGTGGTTTTGTTGGAAGTTGAATATTTTTCCTCCCAGGTAGCACGGTGTGATCTTTATTGTGAAAATTCATCTGTGATCTCTTCTTAGCTGCTCCAGCAGCAAAAAAATGAGGCAGATGAGAAGTTTGCTTAATACTGTCTTTATCTTTTTTCTTGACAGATTTGCCCTTGGCAGCCAGTATGTTCACTGCTTTGGTATTCTGTGGAGACATAGCTTTAAGAGAAAACCACTTCTGTTGGTTCCTGATGCCACAGTCTGTCAGAAAGAGAGAGAGGTAAGAGTGCCCTGGGCCTAACCCAAGATATGGTCTGCTCTTCCAAAGCTTAGGAAAGCTTCGAATACCAGACAGACAGGTCATTATGCAGTGAGATCAGCACCAGAAAGGCCCTTATTTCTACAGCACTACTACAAGACTAGAGGATGGAGACAGAGTGTGATTTTTTTTTATAAGGAGATTGTTTCTTCTTCACAGACACATTAAGCAAGGTTCTGCTTTTGGAGCCACTTAACACCAAGGAGGACAAGTCATTAAACAACGATCGTCAAAAGCCCTAAAGCTGGAAACAGTGGGAATTCTCTGGTGCCTGCTACTCTCCAGCCTGAAGACCTAAGGAAAAAGCACAAGGAACGCTCAGTTTGACTCTGGTGGATCACAACCGTTCTGAAAACAGGCAGATCCTGTAGGAGTGGGAATAGAAATAAACTCAATTCCTCTCCGAGGAGCCCCCAATCGCAGCCCCAGCCCCAGCCCCAGCCCCAGCCGCAATGCTAGCGAAGAAATCCAAAGTCTAGAGGCCTCTTCGAGTTACAACTCTCCGCACAGGCCCCAAAAGTAGCCTGATACAGGAAGAGAGTCAGGGAGGTGGAGGGCTGCCTAAGCCAACTACTCGGGTAAAGAAGCGAGGTCCAGTTCGAGCACCGACCTGTCTACGTACGCACAGCAGACAAAACTCACTCCATTTAACTACTCACCAAATCACGCGGGCTTAAGGAACCCAGAAACGCGGCAGAAACTACAATGCCCACAGTGCACCGCGCAGGCCCCGGCGTGCGGGTGGGTCGAGCTGAACGCCTGCGACCTGAAGGGCCTGAGGTGGGGAAAAAGGCGAGCGCCCAGCTTTTACGGGCAGGGACACTGGACAGCCACGGGGGGCACCTGTTATACCCACGGGACCATTAAAGCCTCCACGTCAATGAAAAAACAATTGTAAAGAAGGGGCGTCTCTCAACCCGGAAACGCTATGGAGTTGAGTCACGTGGTGCACAAGCGTCAAAGGCCCACGTGAAGAAATTAAAACGCGAGCTTCCTCATCCTGATTTTTAATATCGGGCTTGGTAAGATTGGGACGCCTACTTAAGGAAGATCATTTTTGATCTCTTTTACATCTGTTTTCCCTCAGCGCGATAGCACTATCCTCAGGAACAGCTACAGAAATTGAATTTTTTTTTCCTTTCTTTAGCAGCGACTTCCGCCCACGTTCAAGATGGCGGCGGGGCGGCCTGCCTAATCCTGACGGAGTCTGGCGGCGTCCGACGTCGGGGCTGGAAGAGGGCGGAGTGGCTGAGAAACAACAAATGCAGACGCTGCGGCTCGGGAGTCAGTCATGGACTGGAAAGAAGTCCTCCGCCGGCGGTTGGCGACGCCCAGCACGGATCCAAACAGTGAGTTGGGGAGGAGCCGCCCGCTGGGATGGCCCGGCCCTAAACTAGAGGTGGGGGAGGGTGGGAAGGAGGGGCAATTGGGACCCCTCCTTTCCCTAGGTGGAGCCTCTCTTACGGGGGTGGGGGAGGATGTGCTTTAGGGGTCTGGAGTTTGGGCCCAAACTTCCCTGGGAAATGATTTGCGAGAGTGAAAAGCTGACTTTCGTGGTCCTGTTGTAGACTTGCGAGAAATAACAACGCTGACCCTTAACTGTTCCGCCCCACTGGGACCTGGGATTCGTTGACTGCGCCTTTTACTGACACACGCTTTTCACTTTCCCTCTTTACCCACTTTAGATTTCATAATTGATTTTTCTCTGTACGTTTCGCTTCTCTATATTTGGCATATTAACCTGCTTAAATCTTTCCTATTCTACACTTTCATTTAGGGCAGCTGAAATTGTCTGGAGTAGAACAGGACTATGGTAAGTTATCTCACTTTAATCGATGCCCTGTCCTGCTGTGTTCAACATTGAACTCCTCACATCATTCAGACCTCCCGTCGTATCCTACTTACTCCATCCCTTCAAATGAAAAACTCCTCTTTAATGTTATCTCACTGAGAAAGAAGCAGCAAAGGAGAACCTCACCTGTTTTCATTTACCCTATCACTTCCCTGCCCTAAGTGCCATACAGTCTGCTTAATGTTGAAATGAAACATTCATGTACTTGAAGTCCCTCCACTCCAGCACTAAATCCTTTTGTAAGAGTAAAAGGGGTACTGCTGCAGATCCAAGCTAGGTCCCTACAGACCCAAGGCCTGTGCAGTTGCTCCACAACTAAGCTCATCTGCAGCACCTCTCTCCCTTACTTAACAGATAACTTGTTTCCAGCCTTATTCTCTTATACATGGTCAACTTTTTCTTCGCTAGGACTGTTTCAGTTGTCTGTCCCCCCTTTTTTGGGGGGGGGGTACTGGGGATTGAACTCAGGACCCAGTGCTTGCCAGGCAAGCACTTGTTCTTCTGAGCTATCTCCCTGGGCCCTGCTAGGGCTATTTCTATCAGTATTGACAAACATGCTGGCATTTACTCTGTCTTTTAAGAAAATAGTCATTTGATCCTACATTCACCTCCACCTTCTGCTACATTTCTCCACACCATTTATAGGAATATCTCTGGGATTGAGGGTGTAGTTAGTGGCAGAGTGATATCCTTAGTCCCAAAGGGGAGAGGAAAAAAACTGTACCGGGCGTGGTGGCACACACCTGTAATGCCAGCACTGGAGAGACTGAAGCAGGAGTTCAGTTACCTATACTTGTGTATTCTCCTCATGTGTCTTAAAGCCCACTCCAATCTTTAATGGGTATTTATTCCATGCACGTTATATGCCAAGTTCTGTTCTAGGTTAGAGCAGTGGAAAAAAAGACAAAAATTCCTCTCCCTGCAGAACTTATATTTTAGTGTGTGGAGAAATATATTATCTAGGTCAGTAGTAGCAAACCTTTTAGAGTTTTCAATGATACGGCCCACTGTTGTGTCCTGTGCAGCTCTTGAAACTTTGAGGGAGGATTGTGGGGGTTAAGAAAGACAGGAATCAATATACTAAAGCTTGAGGTCAGGTGGAACTCTCTCTCCTGATGAGAGAAAGTGAACTGCCCAGCATCTATAGCACGTTTCTTCACACAATCAGTGTGATTAAGTTCATGGAGAGTTTAAGGCAAAGGTAGAATCTGGGACAGGAAGACTCTCTAATCTATTAGCAGAACAGTCAGCATGTCTTGATGGCTTTATGGGAAATGAGAGAGAAAACTTAATCTCAAGCAAGGGTCAAGTCATTATGGCAGCAGCTCTCTGAACTCTGCACACTTCTCATGGGACTCTACCAAATACATGAGAGGCAGTGACCTTGTCCTAGAGACCTGAGGTACAGACAGCTTTGCTCCTACCAGTGCGCTGTGGCACACACGCTATAGGGTCACCACCATTGATTTGGGTTATATAGGTGATAAGCTCCTATTGAAGGCTGTTTTTCTTTCTTTTTGGTGATTGAACCTAGGAGTGTTTTACCACTGAGCTGCAGCACCAAACCCAGCCCTTTTTATCTTTTAAGATAAGGTCTCAATAAATTGCACAGCCTGGACTTGGATTTAAATTCTCCTGCTTTTGCCTTCCAAGCGGTTGATCTCATAGGCACGCACCACTACATCTGGCTAGGGCTGTTTTCTTCATCAATATTCTAGGTCCTTTGTGCTAGATCCCTTTTTGCCCACCTAAGGATGTAATCTCACTGTTGTCCTCTCTTCTGCATCATTTTCTTTATCATTATCATCTGCATATAGACATGCTGCTATTTCTCCCACCTTAAGCTTTCATAACTTAATTTTCTGTCTCTAGCTGTTGCCTCCTTGTTTTCTCTTACAGTAACAACATACTAAAAGAGTTATTGCTTAAATCTGTATTTTTCTCTAGTTGTCCTCATTTTACTTAAAGAAGTTTGTGGTTTGACAGTGGAGTTTAGGGAAAGCCTTCAGTCTGCGGGATTGTAGTTACCCACAAGGAAGGAGGTGTAGCTGAACGAGACAGTTTGTGCCAACAGCAATCAGGCTGAAAGGTAGGAGAGCCTTGAATTCTGAGCTTCAGCTAGAGAGGGCTCTGGCTTTAGATAGAGGAGCAGTGATGACAAGGTGGAAACTCCAGCTTGGCAGGACTTGGGCTGGTTTTCTCACCCTTTGACCCTGCTACATTTTTCGCCTAGTGGGGTGGAGATGTTCTGGAGCCTGTCTCAGTGGCCAGTAGAGCTTAGTGTTTCCAAAAAGTTAATCCAATGTTCAGTGTCTAAACACATTTTTAAATGGTTGCCCAGAATAGTGATGCTTGTTTTCAGGACTTGTACATGGCGTGTCACATATCTTGATCATTTTCAGTTTCCTACATACCCCTCTCCCTCACCTCCTTCTCCATGCTCAAGAAGTTACCTTCTAGTTTCCTATCATTTCTCCATTATTATTTTTTTTTTATTTATCTACATTTTAAGTTTTTTACATAGGAGGAGCGATATTTAATTTTTTGAATCTGGCTTATTCAACTTACAGAGGTAATCTCAAGTTCTATTCATTTTTCTGAAGATGACAAGATTTCATCCTTTTTTATGTCTGGAATATAAATTTTTTGCCCATTTGTCTGTTGATGGGCATTCAGACTGTCTCCTTGTGATAAAGGATTAATATATACATACATTTTCTAATATATAGAACTCAAAAAAGTTAATCCCCCTCCACACCCCAGTTTTAAAAATGGGCAAATAACTGAATAGATACTTCTCAAAAGATGTAGTATAAACATGTAGGAGTCCCTTCTAGGTTCTTGTCTCAGTACAAGAAGTTAATATTTGTAATCCCAAAGATACATTATTGGAATCCCACTACGTTAATTGCATTCTACCATTCCCAGTGCAACCCATGGTGAAAGTAAAGACACTAAAACATATTTGTAATTACTGGGGAGCCAAAGGGCCCTAAGTCCACCCATGAAGGTGGCTTTCAGGAACAAAAGAGGCTGACCCAAAGAGGCACCCAGATTTTATTCAGTGGAGGAGTGACTTGAGGAGGAATGACTGAGAATTGTGGGAAGTAGGTGAGTACTATGAGCTGAGCTAGGTAGGTGGCCTACATTTACCTCTGCCATATCCAGGGGAAGTAATTTGCATTATGCTATTGAGGTAGTATCTGATGTTTGGGGCTCTGCTGCTCAGCCAAAATGGAAACAATCTCTCTTCTTTCAAGAACAGCTGCTCAAGTGGTCCTCCACACAAACACCCAGTAAATACATGAAAAAATGTCTGACATTTTTAACCATTAGCAAATCAAAACTACACTGAAACCAAGTGTGTTACACATCTGTAATTCCAGCACTTTGGGAGGCTGAAGCAGGAGGATCTTAAGTTCCAGCCCAATCTAGGTTGCTTAGAAACTTACTGAGACCCTATCTCAAAATTTAAAAATAGTAAAGAGGCTATGGATAAAATGCAGTGAAATGGGTTCAATTTTTACTATGACAGAAAACAAACCTAACAGTGAAATTCTGTCATCAGGAATACAAAAAACAATACTGATGAGTATTTAGGAGGAAGAAACTCTCTTAGATGGTTGGTGGGAATGTAAACTAGTACAACCACTATGAAAGTCAGTATAGAGTCCTCAAAACGCTAACTATAGAAGTACCATTGGACCCAATAATACCTGTCTTGGGTATATTTTCAAAGAATTGAGTACAATTTTGAAGGACTTCTTTGTATCTCTCTTTTTTTTTTTTTTCCACCAGAAATTGAACTCAGGACCTTGTGTTTGTCAGGCAGGTGCATGTACCACTAAGCTATCTGCCCAGCACCCCCTTAGCTGTGTAAAAATACTACTTGATTATATTTTTAAAAGACAATTTTCCTTTTATTTGTTTTGCTACTAGAGAAAAAAAGTGAGCAAGAACTAAAAGATGAAGAAATGGATTTATTTACCAAGTACTATTCAGAATGGAAAGGAGATCAAAAAAACACAAATGAATTCTATAAGTTGATTCCTCGATTTTATTATAGGGTAAGTGGTATCTAAGCTGATATCTTTCAGAGGCTGTAAGTAAAATATAATTTTAAAAATGGCATCAGAATTTTAATTTTTAAAATTAAATTTTACTTTAAATTTTGTATCTCAGGGGCCGGGGAGATAGCTCAATAGGATAAGCGCTTGCCTGGCAAGCTCAAGAGTCTGAGTTCAATCCCCAGGTCCCCCCAAAAATAAATAAATAAATAAATAAATAAATTTTGTATCTCATTGGTATCATAAAATATTTGAACCTCTTGTAAAACCTTTGGTATAAATTGTTATATGGAAATAAAGTTGTTTCTTGCCCCTTATTTGAACTATGAGCCTTTCTAATTTTTATTATAAATATTAGTATTCTGTTGAGTTATGTTGGGATGTACAGGACTTTGTTATGTGATGTAATGATTTTGCTCAAGACTAACCTGAAAAATAGATTGAAAATGGAAAACATAAAAGAATTTCAGTTATGTCTCCACATGAGAAAAATGTAAAGAACCCTTTGAAGGCCAGTATAAACAAAACAGTAAGATCTGAAGGAAGCTATTTACAGTGGAAAGTAAAGCTTACTACAAGAATGAGGTCTGTTTAATGTCATGTAAAATATAACCACTGAAGACAAGTTAACTTTGAAATCTTAGCTGAAATGATATACAAAAATTAGAAATGATACTGAATTTCACTAAGCAAAATAATAAGTCAGTAGTGTTTGTTATATTGCATAGTGTTGTCATGTTATTTTTAAATTCAGTTAATTATAACATTAAAAATAGTAAATACTGTGTGTAATAGCATTCTTAAGGATTGAACCCAGGCCCTTTTTTAAGATGAAGTATGACTAAGTTGCCCACACTGGGCTCTGGTCTCAGGCACCCACAGTGTCAGGATTACAGATATGTACCACCATGCCTGGCTTACTATCAAACTACCAGTGTCAGTTAGCATCATCTAAAACCACAAGGGAAACAAAGTGGATGAGACTGTTAGCTTTTTCAGAAGAGAGATCTAGCATCACTATTTGCTAACTTCTTTGTGGACTTTTTTGTTAAATGAATGTTAAAATCAAGGTGAGAAACAAATTAAAGATGTATTATTATTTCATGAGGCCACATAATATTTTACATGATTCATCTAAGATTTACATGTAGAAACCTACCATGTGTTTTTAGCTGCCAGCAGAAGATGAAGTATTACTACAGAAATTAAGAGAGGAATCCAGAGCTGTATTTCTTCAAAGGAAAAGCAGAGAACTCTTAGATAATGAAGAGTTACAGGTAAGAATAGGTTAGATGCTACTGTCTCTTAATCATGCAGGCTTTCATAGTGCCTGATTGTCAGGTTGCCACACAGGTACTGTAGAGGCATCATGTCCACCAGACTCAGCTTCCGATCTTGCCTGGGCCACCTTAGCAGCCCAGGTGATACTAGATTTGTTTTTGTTTAACTACGTGGGAAAGTCTAACATGCAGCCCAGGTTGAGAACGCCTTGCTGTATAGTGAGATTGCAGTTTTCAGTTTAGCCACATTAGGCAGTGGATATAACATCACTGCACTCTACTTGTCATCTGTAAAGTGCGATAACTGCCTGCATTGCGTAGGTATGTGAATTAGAGACTGTGTTTGAAAAGCTTCAAACTTATAGGCACTCAGTAACTCTTGGTTATTCTTGTTATTAGTAATCAAATGATAACAGCAGGAGCTTCAATTTCATGTTATCAGACTCATTGTAGTGGAAATGATCTGTTTATGTTTCTAAATTTTTGAACTTATAATATCTTCATTTCTGTATTTTTTGTAAGAACTTATGGTTTTTGCTGGACAAACATCAGACACCACCTATGATTGGAGAGGAAGCAATGATCAATTATGAAAATTTTCTGAAGGTTGGTGAAAAGGCCGGACCAAAGTGCAAGTAAGAACATACAAAAAAAATAAATTAATTAAAAAAAAAAAACATACAGCTAACAAAGCAGTATGTTATAACAATTTGCTTGCCTCAAATGTTAATGAAAATTGAAGGCATTGGTATAACTTACAAGCCTATTTACTAATGAAATCTGATAAAATTACAGTAAATCATTTTATTTCTGTGAAGTTAAGAGAATATACTTTAAGTCAGAAATGTAACCATAAAGAATGCAAAGATGTTATGACTTAATATTTTTAGTTTTTGAACTACTACTCTATAGTTAATTTTTTCATTTTCATTTTCAGTTATATGAATTTATGCCATTTGCTAACTCATTTTTATATTGGCACATCATTTTCTTCTTTTTTCCTTTTCTTAGGCAATTTTTCACTGCAAAAGTCTTTGCTAAACTTCTTCATACAGACTCATACGGAAGAATTTCCATCATGCAGTTCTTTAACTATGTCATGAGGAAAGGTAATTCACTTTTATTATGCTTGAACTCCCATCTAGGAATCAAGTAGGTTTTGGTATGTGTTCTTAATAGTATTATGCTTAAGTTTGAATAAATTTCCTGTAACTTGACTTAGATATATTATTATGTTGTTATTATGAGTATGTAAAGGAGCTTCCAAAGCTGTGATTTTTCTACCTTAAATTTGGGTTCAATATCAAAAACCTAATGTGTCCTACAGATATAGTCCTAGTAGGACAGAAATGCCAGAAGTTGGTAGATTGTTTGGGAATACTGATGATTGAACCTGTGGCCCTGGCACCTTTTCTTGAGGAGAGGTGGGGAGGGTCTTTCTAAGTTTCCCAGGATGGCCTTGAACTTGCAATCCTCCTATCTTAGCCCCCTGAAAAGTTAAAATTACAGGGTTGTGATAGCATGCCAAGCTGAACCAAGAGTTTTAATATATGGTAATTTGAAATAATTTTAACTTAGTGATAATTTTATTCCACTAATATATTATAGTTTGAATTTCAAAAGGATCGTTTCAAACTTAAAACTTACCAGCTTCAAGAGCCTGTATGATGATTCCTCTAAGTACCATAATGATCTGTGAAATACTGTTGTGTAGTGTCTTTAACTGATATAATTGGCTACAGTAATTAACTTCAGTGGAAGTAATTAACCTTGGTATGGGCTTATAGTTATTGGTTTGTACCTCTAATTAGCTTTTTTACTTCTCTTTTTCGTAAACATATGTACTAATGGATAAATCTTAAGAATTACATTTTATTTTCTTTTTCAATATCAGTTTGGCTTCATCAAACCAGAATAGGACTCAGTTTATATGATGTTGCTGGACAAGGATACCTTCGGGAATCTGTAAGTATTAACCTATTTTCAGTAACTGTTATACGCACCAAGATGTTAAAAGTGGTTATCCTAGGTGGTGTGATTACAAGTGATTATTTGTTTTGATCCTCTGTTTTTATAGGTATTTTTCCATTTTTTATTTTCTTGTGTTTTTAGGAGTAGGGATTGAACCTAGGGATACTCAGCTGCTTGACTTAAACTCCAAATCCATTATTTTGAGACAGTATTGCTAAGTTTCTTGGGCTGACCTCAAACATGTGTTTTTCCTGCCTCATCCTCCTTAGCAGCTGGGATTAAAGGCATGTGTTACTGTGCTCAACATTCTCTTTTATAAATGTGTTACTAAAAAAATTTAATGTATGTTGACTGTATAAATTCAGTTTTTTAAAAAGTCCTTTTAAAGGAGAAAATGAAAAGAATGTAGTAATTTGACAGGCTTAAATTTTTTGGGGGGGGCAGAACCAGGAATTGAACTCAGCCCCTTGCACTTGCCAGGGAAGCGCTTATTCTACTGAGCCATCTCCCCGGCCCCTTACAAATTATTGAAGAGGCAACACATTCAGAACCCCTCTTTTTAGTTGCTATTCCTAGTCCCCATTCCCAGACCCCAGTATATTTCCCTACTCTTTAAGAAAAAAAAACCAGGGCTGGGGAAATAGCTCAGTGGTTTGAGCGCCTGCCTGGTAGGCACAAGGACCCAGGTTTGATTCCTGGAGCTGTATGCCGGGTTGGCCTACAGAACCCGTGGCACACACCAAAACCAGGCGTGGTGGTGCATGCCTGTGATTGCAGCACTGGGGAGACTGAGATAGGAGGATCACTGTGTTCTGAGCTGTATGGCGGGACCCTATACCAAATAACTAATTTTTTTTTTAAGTCTTTGAAAAAACAGTGAAAATCTTCTGGGGGCCTTCGCTCAGGCCCCACTTTATGTCCCTCTCTTGGACAGAAACTTTCTTTCCCCCAAGAAATATTCTGTTAAAAAAAATAATAATAGAGGCCCTGACTAGGGTGACCAGTGATTGTAGAGAAAACTAGAAATAGATTCATTCACTTCATATTTTGGACACCTTCCCCCAAAAGCTACTAGATTAGATGTCTGTTGGCGGTAAGGAACAGTAGAAACCAGATGTGAATCTTAAATTATTGTAGGATAACTAAGTAAGAACCAGAATTGAGGCCGAGAAGAGTCCTATATGATTTTTTTTTTTTTTTTTTTTT